CACCACCACCACCACCACCACCACCACCAACATCATCATCACCACCACCACCACCACCCCACAGAACTCCCGTCTATCTGCACTCAGAGTGGAACTTGAGTCTGAGCACTTACTGACAGTCGGTGAGTTCTCGGCAAAGTCGGTTAGATACATATGAAAAGTACGTCGCTTAGAGAAACAATGGGGCCTTTTATCTTGGTCTTGATACCCCGCTTACCTATGGATTAAAACGTGACCTGAAAGCTGCAGAATGCTATGTCGCGCTGGTCATAGTAGCCGTCAACCAGCTGGTCTTATTGAACGCGCGAGCAAATGGAACATAGGACTATTTCAAGTCATATGACCCTGTTGTTCTGGTACTAATGGACATCAGGCAGTCTAGCTCCTGATCAATGCGAAACCCGTGTTCATCATCAGTGTTGTCTTTGTTTCCTGGTCCCTTTAAAAACTTGAACCAATAGTATGGAATAAGCCCAACCTTTGTTCATAAGGACCATTCCGGCTCCTTCGTCCAGTTTTGTAATCAGGGCTTAAGTATTCTGACACTGCTTTCTAAGCTTATCCAGGCACGCCTTCTTAGCAATTGCATTGTCTACCGCCGTTAAGTTGAAGTACTGGGGCAGTAGTTCTCGAGGGTCATCTTAAATTATCCGGCTTCATTCACGACTGTGCGAGATAAGTCGCAGGTCTGGATGAATGGAGTTTAAGGCTGGAGTCATAATTTTAATCCATGTAATCTCCTGACGATGCTAGTTGCGTCACGATTTAAATCATATACCTCTGGCTCGAGGCATTAATCTTAAGCAGACTTACAATTCTGGGCGTTAAAACATTGTCCTCTGTAATGCTTTCTATCGAACATGTCTTTTTTTCTGACAAGCGAAATGATTACCTATCTGCACCGTTGTCCAGTTTGAAAGTGCACACTGCCTGCATGAATATGAAAGTTTGGATTCGTTACTCCAAGACAATCTTTAGTAGGGGATCATGGAATCCCAGATTGTTTATTACACTAAAATATAAGCACGTGAAGCAATTTCGAGTAGGAAGCGTGTTCAAAGTAAAACATTCAGACATATTGGACGGTCAAACATGTGTGAATTAAAGGAATTGCTATAATGGTGTGTCATCAAGCAGCTTGTGGTTACCATTCCGTGGCTCCCGAAGCGTTAATTTTTTTGAGGAAAATTAGGCAAGTATAGGATATGTAAGCTTATTGAAAAAATAAATTCCAGGGATTCCTGTAATACGGGATCTAAATATTGTTTTTAACAGTAAGACATATGGATGTGGTAGTCAATGGAACCTGCGGAAAGCACTGAGAAAACTCACTTTTCTGCTGCACGCTCGTTTTACTACCCAAACGAGGTATCTGGACAGACCAAGCGGTTTAAAGTATGTGATTTAGGGACATGCAAACGGGCGGAAAACAGGTAAGCCAAAGTTATTGGTTAGAGAAGGCCGGATTGGGTGAAATGGTATGCGGCAAGCAAGCTTATCCTTAACCCTTTCTTTAGCCCTAATCTTTGACGTAAGCTCAAACTCAACTCTGGATTTGACAATTTTCTTAAGATTAGCCAGAAACTTAACCCGAATATAACATGCCTACCTAAGTCGAATATTTAGGCACGCTATAGTAGCAAAAACTAAGGCCTGCATACCTGATCGTCGCTGAACATTACTTTCGAAACAACCTATTTGAAGAACAGGAAAGTTCATATAGTTGAAAGGTACCAAGGCTTATCATCTACTTTATGAGTTCGGTCGTCGGAATCAGCCAAACGGGAATTAATATAGCCCAATTTTTATTCTTGTTCTGACTGTGAGAAAAATACCACCGCATACGCACACAGACACACTCACCACTCCCAACACGTCCACCATGCCCAGCACCACCCCCGCTCCATCGCCATATGCGCCTATCACCACCACCACCGCCACCACCACCACCACCACCACCACCACCACTGCCTCCTCTACAGCCGACACCGCCGACTTCTCGTGCCCACACTGCCCACGCACATTCACCTCACGCATCGGCCTGGTCGGTCACTTGCGAATCCATCGCACAGAGTCTGGCGAACCGGTGCCTGGAGCAGCCACCTATACCCACCAAGCTCGTCTCAACTGCCCACACTGCCCTCGCACCTTCAGGCATCGCATGGGCCTATTCGGCCGCATGCGCATCCACGACGACCTGTGGTATACAACCGCCGATTACACCACAAATCCACACACTCCCTACCCTCCTCCACCATCACCAACACACATCACCAATCACCCACCGCATGCACCCAACTGCCACCTTCCACGCAAGTGGGAAGTGTGCACCTCGACTCGGTCCCCATGCGGCTTCTGCTGCACGGGTGATTTGAGTCCGAGACTATCCCGACACGTCAAGCGTCATGGATAGGAAGGTTGCTGATTGACGGCCGCTCTCGGTTCACGCAGTTCGTCGCGTTGTGTGTGTGTGTGTGTTGTGTGTAGTGGCGGACTGGTGGGCTGGGAACGGGCTGAAACAGCACCTTCCACGGCCCTCTCACCCAAGTGAGAGGCAAGCCGCTCAACCCCCGTTGTGTGAAATCCTGGTGTTAGTGTGTGTATGGGGGGCCAGGTCGTGCTGTGCCGCACGCAGGCATGGTCAGTCGACCGTGTCAGCCACCGCGCCCATTTCCCACTCCAGTCTGCTGACCGGCTCGGAAGGCGGCTGGGGTGTGGGAATGGGAAGGGAGAGTGAGGTCGACGACTCAGCGCACTTCCTCCTCACTATAAACAATCTGACGCGCTTGAAGCTATCACGGTGCGCTAAAAGCCGTGGCTTGGAAGGTTGCCAACTGACGGGGTACCTTGGACCTCCTCCTTGACTGGAGGTGGTCTGAGAGTCAGGCTGCAATGGCTCCTTTTTAATGTGGCCTTTATGGCATTCCCATCACAGTGTGGGATCCGAGCCAGGTGTTGGCGGCGCGCCCAGGTGCGGCTTCGGCCGTGCCAGCCTCCAAATCTCTCTTGTGTTGGTTGAAATCCTGGTTATTTGTTGTGCGGACCAGGGAGTGTGGTGGAACGCCAAGGTGAGGATCCGTCCGAGCCATCCACCTGCGGCCTCCCTCGTCTCCGGTCTTCTTGACTCTGTCTTGACACCGGGCCCAGACGGGGGAGGAGGAGAGAGTGTAGGTAGATGCAGCGCAAGTCTACTGGCACTATAAACCCCTGGACAAGTCACCGTCCCTGCTCCCACCTGCTGTGCGGCACAGGATGGTCGAACTGTCGGGTCTACTTTTAAACTATTTAATCAAACTACGGAGATCAATGGTAAAGTAAGGGGCAAGGCTCGGAAACGCGGTCCTGTTGGGGAAAACGAAGGGAAAAACGAAGGTATTATAGGCAAATATGCTGGTATATTTTAGTGGGTAGAAACCACGGCGTAAGCACAGCGCAATACACAAATTCGCTGTAGGTAACCAGTAAAATCAATTCCACGAAGAATAAGGGTGAGTGGTCCGTCAAGGTCATTGAGACTGAACCGCCAAAGAATGTGACCAAACAGGTCTAAGTGGGTGATGGAAGTTTTAAGAAGTGTGTGCAGAATGGCTCCCTAACCCTAAATACTAATTCTAGACCTTAACCCTAAAGACAACCTCATACCCTAAGCCCTCACCCAAACGTTAACCACTAACCCTAATCCTAAACCCCAGTCCCTAACTCCTTATCGTTAAACCTGAACGCTAGCATAATTGTGAATCATAATCGCAGCAGTCCACGAAGCACCTCAAATTGAACGTATCCACAAGTAATACTACGCCTGCAGAAATCACTGATGGTGCGAAAGTAAAAAATGTTGACCACCTACTGAAACCAATAATAGTACGAAAGTGATAGTTTGTAGACGAGACAGAAGCGCGTTATCGAGCCTCAACAAGTAAGGTTACCAGCCCTCCATTTTCAACATTTCATGAGCATTCCCACGGAACCTTGTCTACAACTTACAATGTCGACTAGTTCCCTAGGCAGCTTGAAGCCTTGAGTTCACCGGCCGGCCTTTCCATTGGAACTGATTTAACCCTGTATTTCGTCACGAACTAGACTGGAACAACTGCCTAGTGAAAAGAACGGGTAAAAAGCAAGCAAATTAATTGAAAGCGTCAAATGTTCTAGGGTAGTAACGATGTCAAAATATCCTGCTTTTTTCCGAAAATACATCCTCTATTACGTGAGTTATCCTTGGGTTCAAGGAAAGGTCGTATTCAGCCGTTGGTTCCATTCAACAAGTTTAACACGTTTAACAAGTGTGGCTATTTTTGGATCAGATGCATTTGGTTTAAATTGGAATTTGATTGCCGACTCCAATATTTCCGTTCTCTTGCTTCAATAAGACACCGAAAACCTCCGTAAGTACTTACTGCAGCGACCGGGCACATCCTTATGTCAAAACAATTAAACTTTACGCAAATTCGAACCTATGAATTCCTATAGTAACGCTTCTATAAAACAGAGATGACGAAAAATCAGCTATCGAATAGAAGCGAATATGTAAGTAGGTTTGCAACACTAATAACAATGTCATTACCGACAGAATGTCATTATCGGCGAAGGCAAGGGAGACTGGAGTGGCAATTTCTGGTTTGTTAGCCTTCGTCAGCCAGTCGTACCCAACCCCGAAATGTGGAACAACCGAGGCTCGAACTTGCGACATGTTAGTTAGAAGTCCATGCCTCTAACCACTGGGCCACGAGCCCGTTGCCCTGTCGGTTTCGACCGGGAATATACAATGGTAGGGAGCGCTCACCGATCGTTCTTAAGGAACTCACTCGCTCCGTTGTGTCTTATAGGCTCCCTCTCGAGCCCACTGATAACAATCTGATAAGGCCCTTTACTTAACAACTTGCCATGGAATGATGGCTTTCCACCTCGAAGGGTTTCATTTAGCAAGTACATCTAATTAATTATTGCAAATCGCCGCTTAGATTCACCTCCATGATGCCTGGCAGTGGAGCCATATTAATTTACCCTTAAACGTAAATTTAACTGACAGAAGGACCATTTTAGATGCGTGTAAATTAGTGGGGATACTGTAACCGTCACTTATGGTTATGCTTACTGTTCCTTTTGCTGGTAATACCAGAACTTGGACACTGGCACACCAGAGGGTATAAAATTAGAAATGGCTCTTAGTTAGTACCTGTGCTGTCAGTACCGGCTGTCTGCTGACATTTGACGAATATTAAGCGGTTGTCCCACTGGAGCTGGTGGATTTCAGCTCAAATATTTATATAAAATTTCCAGCAGAATTTACAAGGTTTCATTCCGAATGATTTATTCAAAGTTAACGTATCAAATTCCGAGGAGATAAGAAACTGAAAATTAAAATTTTCAGTATGGCCCTGGCCGCGTTTTCACACCTCGAGTGGGCAGCAACTGTAGTTGGAATGCCACTGAAAGATGACTGTCGATAACCCAGAAATAGTCCTTCAAGTGTCCTTTACCCTCCCTGCCAGCTCACGGCCCCATCCTAAGGGTGGTGCCAAACAACGGTGGACGGGGTTCTGGTTCCGTCGAGGGGTTCGTTCGGGCTTTGTCGGTTGTCGCTCTGCAAGCTTTTATTAGTAAGTTTAGAATGAACATGTGCCTCCTCTAGACCAACCCGTCATCACTGGAGGTGGTAATTCTTGCGATGATTACCTGCTTATCCGTTCCTGAGTCAACAGTGGTCGTGATTTAATTACTGCTGCTGATTCTTGACGTGATGATTATACGGCGATTTGGCTTGCTGTCAATGGGACTGTTGGTCGTCCGCGTCCTCCACACATGTCTAACTACTTTACTCGGGCAAATACTCAACAGAGAACACGAAGGCGGAAGGTCATTGGGTTTGTTAATTGACTGCAGGCAGGAGAACCATGACTCAAGCAGCTCGCGACTCACGCGGTCGTTCACTCCTGTGAGAGTTTCTGCCTCGTCGAACTTGAGAACGTGGCCGGGTTCCGTCGAATGAGTCGCGATCTGAGGGCTAATATCATTCCTCCTCACTGCTGCCGCATGTTCGAACATTCGTGTTCGGAGCAGTCTTCCAGTTTCTCCGATGCAGTTGTTTTGTCCTCAACTGCACCAGATCCGACGAACAAATCCAGACGTCACCTGCTGTGGTAGTGGGTCTGTCAGTCTCATGACCTGGCGCCTGATGGTTGCCTCCGGTCTTTGTGTTTAGGAAAGCGACTAACACGACGCAAGTGCTGCGCTTCAGCAGCAATCAGTCAATCATTTACAAACATAGTTGCGTAAAAGCGCTATATCGGCGTGTCGAGACGTACTGCAGTGACTCGGAAGACATGGTTACTCAATTGCAGTATCTTCGAAGGACGCTTAAAGCTAATGGTTGCCCACTCATCTTCATAGACCGTTGCATAGGTAAACAGGACGAGGGGCCCAGCACGACCGGCCCAAGCTTTGGCGAACGCTTCTGCAGGCGATGAACGTCTCGGAATTCATCAAACGCCTTCTCACACCACCTGGAGTTGGGGTTGCACACACACACACACACACACACACACACACACACACACACACACACACTGGAGGCAACCATCAGCGGCCTGATAGTGAAACCGAAAAACCCACTGCTCCTACAAAAGAAGATCTAGAGTCGTTTATCGGATCGGTGCAGTTACGGAAAAAACTACGCCGGAGAACTGGAAGATTATTGCGAACACGAATGGTCGAACATGCAGCCAGACTGCCGAGTGATCGTCACGCCAAGAATCAGCAACGGGGATGAAATCACGTCTAGTAACTACTCGAGGGCGGGCTACCAAGCAGTCATCAAATGAAATACGACTTCTAGTGGTGAAGGCGGGTGCTGCAAATTATGCTAGGTATGTGGTTGCATGACAGTTGAGCCCTATAAGTGCTGCGTTCCCTGCACCTCCATAACTTTCATCTGAGCCTGCCTCCGATGATGAATCCAAAACGTCGGGCCAATAAATGTCTTGTTCTAGTGATCGCATCTTCTACTGAAGTGCTCTTCGAAACTCGCCTTTCATCGTCTATCGGTAAAGCATCTTGCATTAGGATTTTTGGTCCTTCCGACCCAATGTTGGGTACTTCAGAATGATTACGTCCAGTAGAACAGAAATAACCCATTTCAGTCACAGTTTCTTCTTCTTCTTCTTTTTTTGCCTTCGTCTTCTATATCAACGCGCCCCTAACTTTTACGCAGAAAGTGTTTGTCGGAGGTGTGATAGGTCGACAACTCGAAGGTCCCCAAATAAAAATCCAGGGAAGACTGAGCTGTTTACCTAGGTGCGAGAGCCTATACGCAGCTCAGCGGGCAGCGACTGCAAGCCTTCTCACACAGCAAATGACAGCCGTTGAGGTTATTAGTCCGGACGTAAGGTGTATATTGAGTGCCCTATCTCATGA